TTGGCTAAATATTGTAATATAAGATAAAGAGAAATTTCTTGGAAGTAATAATTAGGCTTAGGGGTAGAATATGAATATGTTATTAATAAATATTAAGGATTAGAATATTAATAAAGGAGAAGAAGTAAATGAAAGAAATTAATATTATTAGAAATATGAATTTGAAGAACTGCTAAATAGGTGATATATTGAAATTCAGTTAGAGGGGATTCGAGGAAGTCAGTTATCAATGTAATGAAATTAGGATTTGGAAGTTAAAATTCATTTTTATGTGTGTGCTTTTTTGGTTTTTGTGTATTGTAATGTTTTTTTTTCCTTGTTTTTCTTTTTTATGTGAAAAGTGTGAAAACCAATAAAAACTTTGGGGAGGGGGAAGTATCTGCCTTTTATTTGCATAGATGTTTTGTTTTCTTGTGATTGGTTTTAAGGTTAATATTGTGTTAGGGACGCGGGTGGCGCTGTGGGTAAAAGCCTCAGCGCCTAGGGCTTGCCGATCGAAAGGTCGGCGGTTCGAATCCCCGCGGCGGGGTGCGCTCCCGTCGTTCAGTCCCAGCGCCTGCCAACCTAGCAGTTCGAAAGCACCCCCGGGTGCAAGTAGATAAATAGGGACCGCTTACTAGCGGGAAGGTAAATGGCATTTCCGTGTGTGGCTCTGGCTCGCCAGAGCAGCGATGTCACACTGGCCACGTGACCCGGAAGTGTCTCCGGACATCGCTGGCCCCCGGCCTCTAGAGTGAGATGGGCGCACAACCCTAGAGTCTGGCAAGACTGGCCCGTACGGGCAGGGGTACCTTTACCTTTACCTTATTGTGTTATAAGTCCCTTTGGGTCACTTTTGTGAGGAAAGTGACGTCACAATAATAGTAATAGAAAAGGTAGCAGCATCTCACAATCATTTTGGAAGTGCCAATTAGTTGTTGTTTTTTTAAAGATATTTATTGAAATTTTGAACAGTAAAACAAACTTCACAATCAAAACAAAAAAAAAGAAAAAACATTATCACAATCAAATAAAAACAGAAAAATGCAATACAAAACATAAAAAGTAGAGGGAAAAAGACATAAAAAAGACATAAAAATCCAGGTTCTTGCTTATTGTTTTCATAACCCTCCTTCCTGACTTCCTCACATCTCCCTTTTCTGTGTTCCCTTTTAGACAATCGTATTCAGCAATGCCTTACCCTCTTTCAAATCTTATTCTATGTTATACATTTCAACTATTATGTCTCCAATTTTTCCCTTTATATCATTTTGTTTAAATTTGACATAATGATATTCTAGCTTTTTCACCCTTATTCTTATAAAACATTTCTTACATATTCCTTTCAACTATGTCACTAATGCCATGTTGTCTTTATATCCTGCATCATTTTAGCATTCAAACATTTTGCAATGTTTTTGCAAGTAGTCTTTAAATTTCTTCCAATCCTCTTCCACTAACTCTTCTCCCAGGTCTCGGATTCTGCCGGTCATTTCTGCCAATTCCATGTAGTCTATCACTTGCATCTGCCATTCTTCCAGAGTGGGCAAATCTTGTGACTTCCAGTATTTTGCGATAAGTATTCTTGCTGCTGTTGTTTGGAAGTGCCAATTAGGCAGGTTTGTATTAAAACGTGAACTGAACAAATCTCTCGCCCATCCCTACTAGAGACTAGATCTTTTTGAATGATGGGAGTGTTCAACAGCCATAGTCCATATTTTATTTTTTAAAAAATCAATTATAAAGCATAGTACCTTGCCCTCGCAAAAGGCTTGAGCATTCAGGAGATAGTTCAGAGCTCTAACCTGGATTCTACACATAAAATAATGTCTATTGGACGTACCAGATATGCTAAACCGATTGCAGAGGTGAGGCGCTATATAATACTTGCAGCTTTTCCCCATGGCAGAGTGGAAGGAATACTGAGCATGTAGATAGCTGGGCCTTGGCGTAATATATCTAAAACAAATGAATCCTTAAATGCATCTATTCCAGGAATGCCAAAGCCAACTTGGCTATGCCTCAAGATGAATCTTGAAATCACGATAAGGAAATAAAATGCATAGCCTCATAAATTTCCCCAGTTGATGATGATATAAAGAGGTGATCAACGCTTCTCTTTTTATATTCAGTCTTCAATTTTCATACCACTTCTTTTGCAGAAGTTGACTTCCGATAAAACTCCTTTACTCTGAAGTAAGTTCTACTTAGTTTGAGGTAGCTCATTGCCAAATGAGCATATAGAAAACGGCAGTTTTCCAACAACAGTACCCTAAGCCTGGGGGGGGGGTTTGAAAATTGCAAAAATAGAAGCCTGGGGGGGCTTCTATTGCTTGTGCAGAAATAGGTTTTCCTGGGTGAATTTCCTCCACTAAGGCTTAGAAAAAACTATTAGGATTCCCAGGTTTCTTATATTGTCTGTCCCATAATGCAGCAATTGTGAGAGGGAGCACATCACTCATATTCCCAATTCTCACAATACAAACTTGTGGTGAAAGGAGGGTGGGAATTTTAACTTTTCTCCCAGAAAAAGGGAGACACAACTTAGTTGTTAGGTTTCAACTTTCATCACCACCAGGCTGCTGAAGGGCCACAGGTTATCCATGCTTGCCCTAGGATGTTCAACTTAAAAGCATTAATACCACTAACTGTTTGGCAGATGTAGTTACCCAAACTAGCAACCCCAGTCAACATTTGTATCTAATTGTATCTAAGGGACGTGGGTGGCGCTGTTGTCTAAACCACTGAGCCTCTTGGGCTTGCTGATCAGAAGGTCGGCGGTTCAAATCCCAACAACGGAGTGAGCTCTCGTTACTCTGTCCCAGCTCCTGCCAACCTAGCCATTGGAAAGCATGCCAGTGCAAGTAGATAAATAGATACCACTGTGGCGGGAAGGTAAACAGTGTTTCCATGTGCTCTAGTTTCCGTCACGGTGCACTATTATTGCACCAGAAGCAGTTTAGCCATGCTGACCACATCACCCAGAAAGCTGTCTGTGGACAAACACCGGCTCCCTTGGCCTGAAAGCGAGATGAGTGCTGCAACTCCATAGTCGCCTTTGACTGGACTCATGATCAAGGGGTCCTTTACCTCCCCCCCCCTTTTTTTTTACTAATTACCACTTTTAACTGTGTGTGATGTTGGGGGAAGCCGTGTTAGAACCAGCTATCTATACCAACTTGTATCACAGAAAATGTGCCTACCTATATGCTATGTCTATATGCCTTAAATTAAACCTATATCCCAGCAGTGGGAACGTAATTGTTTCCGAAGAGCTGGCCTTGGAAAACCTAGCCTTGAGGCTTCACAAACCAGCCACTTTGTAGAGTCATATACCAAAGGTGGAGAGGTGTTAGGTCAATAATTTTTCTTCTTCTCTTGGACAATTATGGGTTTTAGATATGTTTACTCCCAATCAATATTTGCTGTACTCAGCAGTCCACAACTTATGACCGCTGAAACATTATTATTTGCTTTAGGTGTTGACTGGTTCAGAAAAAAGGTGGTGTCTGTTTTTGCAATCTCTGCAGTGTAAAGAAACAGGTAACTAACTTTATATAATAAGAACTCTCTAGGTTGAAATGGGCAATAAAACACTTTTTCAGCAATAGTCCTTTGAAAGTCAGGACTGAAATTAGCACCCTTCAACTTAATGGTTATTTTTCTTCTTCTTTACCCTTTTAAAGATCATGAATGGCAAATGCTATGAATGAATGCTTCTTTTTTACCAAACACTTCCTTAAAATAGAGAAGATTAACGTAGAGCGCATTGCAGTAGTCCGAGCGGGAGATAACCAGCGCATGCACCACGCTGGCAAGAAGGGTCTCAGCGGGTGTTATATGGTCTTGGTGGCCGCTCCCAGTCACCAGTCTAGCCACCTCATTCTGGATTAGTTGTAGTTTCTGGGTCACCTTCAAAGGTAGCCCCATGTAGAACGCCTGGCGGTAGTCCAAGCAGGTGATAACTAGAGCATGCACCACTCTGGCGAGACAGTCCGCAGGCAGGTAGGGTCTCAGCCTGTGTACCAGATGGAGCTGGTAGACAGCTGCCCTGGACACAGAATTGACCTGCGCCTCCATGGACAGCCGTGAGTCCAGAATGACTCCCAGGCTGCGCACCTGGTCCTTCAGGGGTACAGTTACCCCATTCAGGACCAGGGAGTCCTCCACCCCCACCCACCCCCTGTCCTCCAGAAACAGGACTTCTGTCTTGTCAGGATTCAACTTCAATCTGTTAGCCGCCATTCATACTCCAACCATCTCCAGACACTCACGCATTTGTATTTGTGTGTCCTTAAAATATCAGCTGCATTAAGGCCCAAGCAAGAAGCATAATTTCAGTGCTTGTGCAAAGGCAATTAACCCTTTCTCTTTGTGTTGCTATTCTGCTGAAAATGGTTTCAGACAATGGACTTGTAAAAGGGTAAAAAAATACTGGGAAATAATTTATAATGAATTGGAAAAAAGAATGTTTTAAAGTACTTTCCCCCAAAAAAACAAAGTCCTTTTTGTTGGGGATAATTCAGATGGAAATTCCCTGGTGTCAAAAAAGACTATTTATGTATGCCACTACTGTGGACAGTGTTTTGTTAGTCCAAAAATGGAAAATGAGTGACGTCCCAACTAAAGAAGAATGAAAACTGATTGAACACACGCAGCTGGCAGACTTAACTTATAGAATAAGAGAACAAGAAGAATACGGTATATGTTTAAAGATGATTGGAAAATGTTTAATGTATATATGGGTGAAGATTGTGCACATTTGAAAACGTTGGCAGCATTAAGAAAAATTCAACAGTGTAAATAAGTTTTGATGGATGGAAAAATGGAATACTGAATGGCTTAGTTCAGGCACAGGCAAACTCCGGCTCTCCAGATGTTTGGGACAATAATTCCCATCATCCCTAGCTAACAGGACCAGTGGTCAGGGATGATTAATAAAAATTAATAAAAATTATACAAAAAAGAAAGAAAATGGTTTCAGATGAGCTGCTTAAAGTTGGTCAATCTGGCTGGCAAGGCTTCAGCCAGGCACATCCTCCTATTGTAAGGGGAATGACAAATGTTGTGCTTCCATGGAGACTAATGGTTACATCTGTTTGATTTTTTTCTCGGGGGCAAGTGGGGGCCACATACCAGTGGTGGGTGAGCCCCAAAGACCCAAAGACCAAAGCACACAAATGACACAATAACTTGGCCATGCCAGAAGAGTTTGCAGTGTTTCTTCACTGAGCTAAGAAAGGGGCTGCCTGTTTTCAGGTAATCATTGCAGCCCTTGTGTTTCTTATCGGTCTGAGAAGTGGGTCAAGCTTAACAACACCATGATTTTACCACCCCATTGTATTTTGCTTGGGTTGAGCAGGAAATTTGAACTACTCAGGGAAGAAGAAATTAATTTTTATTCCCCCCACCTCCTGGTTTTAAAGTGCATGGGGCATTTGTCTGTCTGGTTGTAAGTCACTTTGGGTTGCCCGGGGCAAGACAAAACAACTAAGAAACTTAATAAATGAATAAAATATTCTGCATTTGAAAATGCCAACCTTAAATAAATACCTGTGCAAGTTTCCTCTGCTTTCAGCCTCAACTGGCTACAGATGAGGATGATCGAGTTTTAGCAAGTCCTTGATCCTGACGCCACTAAAATCCATGACCAGAGCAGTTGATTAAACCAATAAGTCGGCCAAACCTTTGACTTAATGGGAGAAATGACGTTTCCTTAAGGAGTAAACTTCTTCTGATGGCCATTTTGATACAGTCCATTTCATCCAAATTGTGAATGAAGAAACAAGGCATGTGAGTGACTTTCACTTGATTTCAGATAAGCCACCTGTCACGGCCTTAATTGGCACATGTCTTTTCGGCTACTTAGGATGGTTTCATGCTCCTTGCAAACTTTGAAAGTTGTTCTTGCATTTCAGTTTCCTCTTTCCTAGCCCCACCCCCCTTGCAATGTGCATTCTAATACCTCAAAGAACCTGATAAATAGGAGGCAGCTTCCTTCAGCCCAGTCAGAAAAACGTGGGACCGGCCGCTCCTGCCTGTGCAAATCTTACAGAAGCAAAGCCCAGGAGAAACCATGAGCAAAGGAGCTGGTAAGTACATAAAGGATGTTTAGTTCTCCTCGAATTGATTTCTTCTATCTGATAGCCCTGGGTAACACAACCTGCAATGAAATGATTTTATGAGTTTACTGCTGAGGATTTATGGGCACATCAGCCCCTGAGATTTAGAGCCAACACCTATAATTGTTTAATAAATGTTGGAGTGCTGCTCTTTGATCTTCAGATAACATGGGTAGAATGCCCTTTACGTTTGTGTCCCTATGCTATATACTCTACAAGAACTAACAGACCCATTAAAAAGCCTGTGAGGTTCATGCAGTGCTTTTCTTCCCTTAAAAATTGTTGAAGGGTACTCTCCTTTTCCTACTCTTGTTGAAATACTGCCCCTCAATGAGGCCAAACTTAGATCCACAAAATGTTTAGGGGTATGTGTACACCCACATTCCCCCAGAAAAAAAGCACTGGGTTCATGTATATTAAAGGTAAAGGGACCCCCGACTCTGGGGTTGCGGCGCTCATCTCACTTTATTGGCCGAGGGAGCCAGCGTACATCTTCCGGGTCATGTGGCCAGCGTGACGAAGCCGCTTCTGGCGAACCAGAGCAGCGCACGGAAACGCCGTTTACCTTCCCACCCGAGTGGTACCTATTTATCTACTTGCACTTTGATGTGCTTTCGAACTGCTAGGTTGGCAGGAGCAGGGACCGAGCAACGGGAGCTCACCCCGTTGCAGGGATTCGAACCGCCGACCTTCTGATCGGCAAGTCCTAGGCTATGTGGTTTAACCCACAGCGCCACCCGCGTCCCTTCATGTATATTATTATGTAGTAAAGGTCCTTTTTTCTTTTTAAATGTTTTTATTAGCCATTTCAACATAACAAATTATAAAAACATATCATATACATTATTTTCCCCCTCCCCCCTTCAAACCCTCCCTCCCCCCCAAAAACTTCCCTCAGCCCCTCTCTCTGATTTCTCAGCACATATTATTCTCTGCATGTTATGAAATTATACATATCCTTACATTATCTATCTGCCATGTTATCAACCAATAAATTTGTGTATGTTTATTCAAAACCTGCCAAGGAATCCAATTCATTTTGTTGCCTTTTAGATAATTTGTAAAAAGCTCCCATTCTTAAAGTCACAGTTTTCCTTGTCCCGCAATTTGTATGTCAATTTAGCCAGCTCTGCGTAGCTCATCAATTTTTCTGGCCACTGTTCTTTCGTTGGGATTTCCTCGTTCTTCCATCCTTGTACTATCAAGGAAACAGGGTAAAGGTCCTATTTTCTTATCAGCATGACTAATAGTTTTTTAATGGTTTTATGAGCATGCATGCCAAGTAAAAGGCAAAAAAGCAAACAGGAAGCATTTAATTAAAGGCACAGTTGCTCTTTGAAACTGCAGTAGTGCTTTCCTGTACATACTTTCAACTACTGCTGTGTTTTATTGCAAAAATAAAATCAGGGTTTTTTGGAGGGGGGAATTGGGGGGAAAACACAGAAAAACACTATAATTGTCACAATGACGTTGCGTGGATTTTCTGTAAAAAAATTAGGAGCCAGTTGTGGCAATTCCAGAGAAATGGCTAGAGTAGAAGTAACCTGTCTTTCACATAAGCACATCAAAAGATGAAGGGAGGCTCAAAAGCACACCTGAAATCTGCCCATGGAGAATACAAGCTTAAGCGTCCATTGACGTAGAAAATAATTTCCCGGTGTTGACAGTGTACCCAGTTTTTGAGGAGCGGATCATGCATGACTAGCCATAGAGAATAAATTCCTCTTGTACACAATTCCCCCCTGCCAAATTATTACCCCTTGTTTCCTGTTCTTGTTTGCTTAACAGAGAAGAATGCCTTTACTAATTCCCTTTTTATTTTCTTTAAAAGGAACTTCTCCACTTTGTAATGAGCAAACAATTGCGGTCGGCATTTGATTAGAGGATATTTCTGGGGCACCTTTATTATTTCCTGCTTTCCTTCAGCTGTGGTGATATTACCATATTGGCCTGAATATAAGCCTCCCCTCCCCCCCCCCCCAATTCTGACCGTGAAAAGTTAAAGTGCAGCTTAAATTCGCGACCTTACAAAAATGGGCTTTACGATATCGCTGCTGAAGCAGACCTATGGTAAAACGGAATGGGTATGAGTGCCTGCAGAATTTTAAGGGAGCGGCTTATATTCGGGTATTGTCCTTTTTTTCTCTCCCTCCCCCTTGAATTTTAAAGGTGCGGCTTATATTAAGGTGTGGCTTATATTCGGGCCAATACGGTATAAAGGTGATATCATACATAAGCTAATCAACTTCCTTCTATATGTAAAGAAAAGAGAGAGGGGCACCAAATTGGCAGCCTGATCTTTGCCACACTTGCTATGCTGGCATAACTGGAAGTAGTATCTCCTCCAGCAGAGACAACCAAAATCTGGGGTGTTCTGGGTCAATTTTTTGTCCAACAGTGTGAAGAAGAGAGGAGGATTCTCAGTAGAAAATGGCAGAGGATGAGCTCTTTCAGAACAGGAGCCAAAGTGGTTCTTTACAGATGTTGTTGGACTACAACTCCCATCATCCCTGTCAATTGGCCTTGCTGGTTGTGGCTGATGGAATAATAATACTAATAATTTATTATTTATACCCTGCCCATCTGGCTGGGTTTCCCCAGCCACTCTGGGCGGCTTCCAACAGAATATTAAAATACAATAACCTATTAAACATTAAAAGCTTCCCTAAACAGGGCTGCCTTCAGATGTCTTCTAAAAGTCTGGTAGTTGTTTTTCTCTTTGACATCTGGTGGGAGGGCGTTCCACAGGACGGGCGCCACTACTGAGAAGGCCCTCTGCCTGGTTCCCTGTAACCTCACTTCTCACAGCGAGGGAACCGCCAGAAGGCCCTCGGAGCTGGACCTCAGTGTCCAGGCAGAACGATGCGGGTAGAGACACTTCTTCAGGTATACTGGGCTTTAAGGTCAGCACCAACACTTTGACTTGTGCTCGGAAACGTACTGGGAGCCAGTGTAGGTCTTTAAGGACCGGTGTTATATTGTCTCGGCGGCCGCTCCCAGTCACCAGTCTAGCTGCCGCATTCTGGATTAGTTGTAGTTTCTGGGTCACCTTCAAAGGTAGCCCCATGTAGAGCGCATGGCAGTAGTCCAAGCGGGAGATAACCAGAGCATGCACCACTCTGGCAAGACAGTCCGCGGGCAGGTAGGGTCTCAGCCTGTGTACCAGATGGAGCTGGTAGACAGCTGCCCTGGAGACAGAATTGACCTGCGCCTCCATGGACAGTTGTGAGTCCAGAATGACTCCCAGGCTACGCACCTGGTCCTTCAGGGGCAAGGTTACCCCATTCAGGACCAGGGAGTCCTCCACACCCGCCTGCCTCCTGTCCCCCAAAACCAGTACTTCTGTCTTGTCAGGATTCAACCTCAATCTGTTAGCCGCCATCCATCCTCCAACCGCCTCCAGATACTCCAGGTAAACGGCGTTTCCGTGCGCTGCTCTGGTTCGCCAGAAGTGGCTTAGTCATGCTGGCCGCATGACCCGGAAGCTGTACGCCGGCTCCCTCGGTCAATAAAGCAAGATGAGCGCCACAACCCCAGAGTCGGTCACGACTGGACCTAACGGTCAGGGGTCCCTTTACCTTTACCTGTTGCTCATTTGCTGAGATGTGTGGCCCCACCCGTTTTCTTTCAAATGGCCAAGAACATTGCATTGCTAAGAGCACCTGGACTAAAATTGCCTACCAAAAACTTCACTCTTGTGGTTTATCACCTTATGCTGGGTTTTAGTAAAGCAAGCAATTTAATTAGACAGCGCCTATATGATATCGAGTGACAGAACAATCTGCCCGCAATAAGGGAACTTTGCCCGTGGTATGACTATTTTCCACCTAGTCATCTTGACTCTCTGGTACCCTATCTGCATAACTTAATAATTCTAAAATATAGATGCGTTTTTACTCTTGCAAGATTGAATATACTGCCTTTGGCTGTACTTGAGGGACGATTCCAAAAAATTCCACTGGAAAAATGATTATGTCCCTGTGGATTTGGCAGTACCAAATCGGTAGCGCATGTCCTTCTGGCTTGCACTCTTTATAAAGATTTGAGGAGTGAAGTTTTCACCCCACTATTGTCCATTCCGGGTTCCCCAACCGCTGGTACAATGTCCTTTCTCTTGGCAGATCAGGATGAACAGGTGACAGCAAAGGTTGCAAGGCTTTTAGCTGGGGCAATTAGAATAAGATCCATTATCTGACTATTGATCCAAACCCCCAAAATGTATTTTATATAGTTGACTTTTTACCTTTATCTTCTGTATACCACATTTTGTTTGATTGCTATGGCTGGTGGCTGATGCAAATAAAGATTCATTCATTGCATTTCATTTCATTCATTGCATTACTTACTCCTGTTGGTTTCTGCTGCTAAAGACAGAGAGTCAGCCTCTGTCCATATAAATAGAAAGCATGCTTAAACTTTCTGCTAGTGTTAATAAATGTCATCGTAAGCAGAATGAAAGATTTATATTCTGTCTTGCATTGAGTGACACAAGCAAATCATACGTTCTGTCCGTCAATCCACTATGTTAAAGTAGAACCTAAGATTCTACCCAACCATGTAATAAATACTGCCTAGAAATGTAACTTTGAGAGATGTTTTAATAGGTAAATCTGTTTTACAGCACGTATTTTTGAAAACTGCTAATTTTATTTATATTTGGGGGGGAATGGTTAACTTGTTTCTAACATCTGGTTTTATTGGTAATTTAGTGCAGTGCTTTCCCCCCCAAAAAATGTTTAGGGATACTCTCATTTTGACTTAATTATAATTCCCCCCCATTCCTTATTAAAATTTTGGTCTTCCTGATTTCTGATTCTTCCGGATCATTTTTGCCATTTGGGCATAATCCATCAACTTAATCTGCCATTCTTCTCCGGCCAGGACTTTGTCCTCTTTCAATCCCACGGCCAATAACATCTGCACAGCTTTGGTCGCATATGTAAATAGTCTTTTCTGCTCCATTGGGATTTCGGCACCTAGAATTCCTAAAAGCAAGGCTTCGGGTTTTGTAGAAAAAGTTATTTTAAACATTTCCCCCAATTAATTATATATCATTTCCCAAAATTCTTTTACTACCTTACATGTCCACCACATATGATGGAAGGTGCCTTCTTTTTCCTTACATTTCCAACATATATTTAACCCTGACAAATCCACTTTTTCAAACCCCACTGTAAAAAAAAAATGTGTCTAACTCACAGCCAACTCAAGGTCAGATTGAGACATTTATTAATGGGAGGGAAGAGGTAGCCTTTCAAAGTTAGAATGGTCAACATTTGCCTGCAAAGGTGTGCCTGTGCCTTTTAGTAACTGTACAGCAGGGAGACACGCAATAGTTAGCACATCTGTCATCACATCAACGCAACAATAGTTTAAAAAAGAAAACGTTTGCTGTCCCCACTCCCTCTCTCTCTCTCTCTCTGTACACGTCTTAAGTGCCCTGGACAGGTACAGCTCTAAGAAGCAGGAAATTGCTCATCCAGAGATGAGAAATAAGGCCATGGTGCTTTTGTATTGATTTTCCATGGCCACTTCTGCAACCAGCTCCTTGGGGAATCAGAATGCAAGTTTGGGCAGACCTAAAACAACGTCACCTGTTAGGTGTAAGCACAAAGATGGCATGGGATCATTTCTATCTCTCCTTTGATATTAAGTAAAGGTGGTATCAAAAACTACAAACCTGTGTAATGTTTCTTACGCAGGATTGTAATATCAGTACTAAGGCACTGGTAGTAGTCTCTGTTTCTATGCAGTGGGGAGAAAGCCCCTTCCTCTGCGGCCAGCACAGAAACACAGGCTGCTAGCAGGGTAGTAAAAATATTTGCCTTCTCCTAAGCAGACTGGCATGGGACGCGGGTGGTGCTGTGGGTTAAACCACAGAGCCTAGGACTTGCCGATCAGAAGGTCGGCGGTTTGAATCCCCGTGACGGGGTGAGCTCCCATTGCTCAGTCCCTGCTCCTGCCAACCTAGCAGTTCGAAAGCACATCAAAGTGCAAGTAGATAAATAGGTGCCACTCTGGCGGGAAGGTAAACGGCGTTTCCGTGCGCTGCTCTGGTTCACCAGAAGTGGCTTAGTCATGCTGGCCACATGACCCGGAAGCTGTACGCCGGCTCCCTCAGCCAATAAAGCAAGATGAGTGGCGCAACCCCAGAGTCAGTCACGACTGGACCTAATGGTGAGGGGTTGCTGCATCTCTCCTCCGCTGGCGTGCTGCGTTTCCATGCTGGGTACAAAGAAGGGATGCAGGTGTTAGACCACAGAGCCTAGGGCTTGCCGATCAGAAGGTCGGCGGTTCAAATCCCTGCAACAGGGTAAGCTCTCGTTGCTCTGTTCCAGCTCCTGCCAACCTAGCAGTTCGAAAGCACACCAGTGCAAGTAGATAAATAGGTACCACTGCGGCGGGAAGGTAAATGGTGTTTCTGTGCGCTCTGGTTTCCATCACTGTGTCCCATTGAACCAGAAGCAGTTTAGTCCTGCTGGCCACATGACTTGGAAAGCTGTCTTTGGATAAACGCTGGCTCCCTCAGCCTGAAAGCGAGGTGAGCGCCGCAACCCCATAGTCGCCTTTGACTAGACTTAACCATCCTGGGGTCCTTTACCTTTTGTAAGCTTATACATGTTGTAGCATTAACATTGCCTTTAAACTTCAGAAACCACCAAGCTGAATGAGATGCCAGCCTCCTCTAATACGCAGGCAAACATGAAAACCATTGCCCTAAATGGCCTTGGCCCAGTATACCTGAAGGAGCATCTCCACCCATTGTTCAGGCTGAGGTCCACCTCTGAGGGCCTTCTGGCGGTACCCTCATTACGAGAAGTGAGGTTACAGGGAACCAGGCAGAGGGCCTTCTCAGTAGTGGCACCCGCCCTGTGGAACCCCCCCCCCCACCAGATGTCAAGGAGATAAACAACTATCCGACTTTTAGAAGACATCTGAAGTCAGCCCTGCACAGGGAATTTTTAATGTCTGGTGTTTTATTGTATTTTTAATATTTTATTGGAAGCCACGTAGAGTGGCTGGGGAGACCCAGTCAGATGGGCGGGGTATAAATAAATTATTATTATTATTGATTGATTGATTGATTGATTGATTGCCTTCTTTGCCATCCTTTCCAGGTGATCCGCTGAAGGTTACTGGAATCGATTTTCTCCGAGAGCAGAATACCCGCCTCCATCACACCGGCGACTACAACAACAGCAGCCTGATTGTGAGACGTGGGCAGCCTTTTGAGTTGAAGCTGACTTTAAGCAGGGAGCTGAACAACAATGATAAAGTCACACTGCAGCTCAGAATTGGTAAGCGAGCAAAACATGGCTTGATTCATCCCAGGTTGTCTAGGAATACAGCAGAGTAATTCAGACATTTATCCTTCAGAGATGCCACAATCTGCTATCAGGGTCATGCAGACACGGTGGGCAAGTTCAATAAAATTTGAAAGTATTTGTTTGGTTTCCTGAATTGCTTCCAATGCGGATATTTTTATATGTTTTGAGAAGAGAAATGGAACTCAAGCGGGGAACCAGAGCGGGAGATCCATGTTGTCGTTTATTATTCCACTGATTTCCCAGGTAATCTCTTCCAGGTAGACTACCATAGAATCATAGATCGGAAGGGATCCTGTTATGTACTGAAGTTCTCACCCTGGGCCAGCAGGGGGATACTGTAGATAGTTATGCAAATAAGGGATCAAAAGTGACGTTCAGTGGTTGGATAGTTTTAGAAAATTGTTACAGTTACATTGTACTGGAGCTCTATATAAGCAGGCTGACTGAACCCTTCAGTTGAGTTCTGTTCTGGCCTGTGAATAAACAAGAGCTGTTTGAAGAATCGCTGTGTCGTCTGATATGTTCACCCACAACTTAACAGATCCCAAGGGTCTTCTAGTCCAATGTGGGAATCTCAACTAAATCTCTTCCAGGAACTGATCACATTGAGAGTTGCTTGGCTTTAGCAATGTAACAATATCATAATCTTTGAAGCCACGCTACTCCTTGAGTACAGAAAGAACAACACACACTGCTAAGCTTTTAATTTTTCTAAGGATTAGAAACAGGAACGCTTTGTTTAATCGAGGGTTTTGTGATTCTACATCAGATGCCAAATTGTGTGGTAAAGAGATTGTGAATACAATGTACTGCTTACCTCCGGGGACTGTTGTATTAGAGGAAACACACAAGCCACTTAGCAAAATTATTTTGCACCCTTCTCTGCGCAGTAGAAAATGCTTCAGAGATGGGGCCTAAAAACAAAGGCTATTGTCATATTCAGGGGACGCGGGTGGCGCTGTGGGTAAAATCTCAGCGCCTAGGACTTGCCGATCGTCAGGTCGGCGGTTTGAATCCCCGCGGCGGGGTGCGCTCCCGTCGTTCGGTCCCAGCGCCTGTCAACCTAGCAGTTCGAAAGCACCTCCGGGTGCAAGTAGATAAATAGGGACCGCTTACCAGCGGGAAGGTAAACGGCGTTCCGTGTGCTGCGCTGGCTCGCCAGATGCAGCTTGTCACACTGGCCACGTGACCCGGAAGTGTCTCCGGACAGCGCTGGCTCCCGGCCTATAGAGTGAGATGAGCGCACAACCCTGGAGTCTGGCAAGACTGGCCTGTACGGGCAGGGGTACCTTTACCTTTACCTTTATTGTCATATTCACTGCTGACACTTTTTTTTGGAATTTATTGATGTTGTTCTTTTTGAATTTATGTCCTTCCAGGTGAAAAACCAATGCAGTCCAATGGGACTCTTCTATCCATGAATGCAAGATCAGGACAGACAGATCAATCCTGGAATGCCAAGATTTGTCAAACAAATGGGAAGGAGGTACATATGTTTGGGATAGCCTAGACTGAAATGGCCATTTACATTTTATGGCCACCACACAGAAGGTGGTTTAAATTGCTCTTCAGGGTGAATGTCATTTCCGGTCAAGACTTTTCACTACGGTATTTTATTTGTGATACCCTTCATGATATCCAGAATGTGATATAGGGGTGCTCAAGGGACCCAGGTCATCAAGACCTGAGTTCAGTTGCGTTCCAACTTGGAGGGGGGGAGCCCTGTTTCTATGTGTGGTAGGACTTCTGAGAGATGTCCCTTCTGTAAGTTACACGTGAGTACCCAGGGTGGCGCTGTGGGTTAAACCACAGAGCCTAGGACTTGCTGATCAGAAGGTCGGCAGTTTGAATCCCCGCAATGGGGTGAGCTCTGCCATCCCACTTTCCAACTTCCATTATTTGCATCTCCTGTAGAAGAGGTTCAGTAGAACAGTTTCTTCTCTCTTTAACCAGAATATTTTTGTAATCTGCTTTGAGGTGTTTTTGTTTTTTGTTTTACAATCAATTGGTGTGTGAATTTTATGAAATAAATAAATTGGGCAGATGTGTTTAATGTTAGTTTTGCTTGTTCCGTATTTTCTGGAAGCTGTTTGTTTAATAACTAAGACACTAGACCATATGGACTAGGGTGTGTTCACATTTAAATGGAATAATGGGGATACCTAATTATCATGTACACTATTATAGCCCTATGATGTTCTCGTGTTTTTCTTAGTGCCGCATAGTTGTAACCAGTCCAGCAGATGCAATTATTGGAAAATATCTTCTTAATGTGATCACGGGACCTAGCGTTTATACTCCTGATAAAAAATGTGTCTACGTTTTGTTCAATCCCTGGTGCGAAGGTAATTCATGTGACCTAATGAGATTTCATTCATATTGCTATAATATAAGGTTAACTTTAAAAAATGTGTCTCTTGTTTAGCTCTTTTCCTCATAAATGCAATGAAAGCTGGTTTTGCAGTGATTCCATGAGGTGTATGATATTTTTTAATGAGGTCATCAGGTTATGAAACTTCCTTCTGTTGCTGCTCACAGTATAATTATTGCAACCCAGTTTAAACGTAAGCAGGGGTACATTTCAACACCCTGAAAAATTGCCCATAAAACCCTGCCTGTGGGACATTTAAAACACATGATGTCTCTCATGGAATCTTGGGAGTTGTAGTTTTCCCCTCACAGAGCCACCATTCCTAGAAGCATTAAGAAACTACAGTTCCCAACATTCATCTGCTTTGAATGCTGTGGAGACAAGAGTTTTATTTGGCGTTCTCTTGGGATGAGTGGATAACAACCGCTCTGTTCCAATAATGTGTTTGAAAATATTGTGCTTGTGAATGAAGAGAACCAGTAGTAGGGGGCGGGTATTGGCTGTCTGCTTCGCAGCCAAATGTACCTCAGGTTAAACCGCCACAAAAGGGTCATGCTTTCAGCATGCACAACAGTTGGCAGAAGTAGTTCTGAAAAGCAGCAATATTTTCCCCTTTCTGGTGTGCATGCTCCCATTCACCCACTCTCAAACTCAGTGCTATTTTTCTAGAAAAAGAGGTGCCATAATTCACCATAATTCCCTTGTTATAATGGCAATGGCGCCCACCTGAGGGGGCCGGAACTGAGTTCCAGAGAGTTACCACTGCGGTGGGAAGGTAAATGGCGTTGCTGTGCGCTCTGGTTTCCATCACTGTGTCCCATTGCGCCAGAAGTGGTTTAGTCCTGCTGGCCACATGACCCGGCAAGCTGTCCGTGGACAAACGCAGGCTCCCTTGGCCTGAAAGTGAGATGAGCACTGCAACCCCAGAGTTGCCTTTGCCTGGACTTAACTGTCCAGGGGTCCTTTATCTTTGTTATTAAATGCTTTTCTTCTAGAAAAACATGTTGGTACTTCATACTGTTGAATATCCCCAGAAAAAAAGCACTGAACATACTTTATAATGAGAAGAAGAAATACATATAGCGGGCCATTTTGTTAATGTGGGTGGGATCCATAGCTGGGACTGGAAAGCCAGAATGCAAATTGATAGTTTTGAGCCCATCAGTGTTCTTATCTGTCTATCCATCATTTTTTATTTTAAATAAATTTTTATTGGATTTTCACATACAAAGTCAATTTGATAGACATAAAGAAAGAAAAAAGCAAAAAGAAAAAGTAAAAAAAATTCAACTTTTCAAATCATTTTTGCAAATCCAACTGGACTTCCCCACATCTTCCGAATCCAGCGTACTTTAGAATAAAAAACATCAGCAATTTGTTACCTTGTTTCATACCTTACTGTATCTTTCAGATATTATGTTTCTAGATTCAAAATACAATTTCTCCATTACTTGTACCTTAAAATAGACATAATAAAGTTGTTTCAAATCTCCACCTTATCCTTCTTGTAACTTATTTTCCAATTAACTAAATCAGTTTGCTGAAGCTATAATTTCCAAATCATGCACATTCTTAACATTCATACAATTTATAATGTTTTTGCAAATAGTCCTTAAACTTTTTCCAGTCCTCTTCCATTGTTTCCTCTCCCAAATCTCGGATTCTGCCAGTCATTTCAGCCAGTTCCATGTAGTCGATCAGTTGCGTCTGCCACTCCTCCAGTGTGGGTAAATCTTGTGTCTTCCAATACTTTGCGATAAGAATTCTTGCTGCTGTAGTTGCATACATAAACAAAGTTCTATCCTTCTTTAACACTTTCTGGTCAACAATGCCCAGAAGGAAGGCCTCTGGTTTCTTGGGAAAGGTATACCTAAATACCCTTTTTAACTCATTGTAAATTACTTCCCAGAAGGCCTTCACTTTCGGGCATGTCCACCAGAGGTGAAAAAAGGTCCCTTCAGCCTCCTTACATTTCCAACATTTATTATCAGACAGGTGATATATCTTAGCAAGCTTAACTGGGGTCATGTACCACCGGTATATCATTTTCATAATGTTTTCCTTCAGGGCATTACATGCCGTGGATTTCATTCCGGTGGTCCATAACCTTTCCCAGTCTTCAAACATAATGTTGTGCCCAATATCCTGTGCCCATTTTATCATGGCAGATTTAACTGTCTCATCTTGTGTGTTCCACTTAAGCAGCAAGTTGTACATTCTAGAGAGTATCTTAGTTTTTGATTCTAACAATTCCGTCTCTAGTTTCGATTTTTCCACCTGGAACCCAACTTTTTTATCTAATTTGAAAACCTCTTGAATTTGAGCATAATGTAACCAGTCTCGCACCTTATTCTTTAATTTCTCCAAGCTCTGCAACCTCCAGTTATCTCCAATTTTCTCAATTATTTCCCAATATTTCGGCCAGTAGGCCTCCATATTGGGTCTTTTTCTAGCCTTGGCCTCCATTGGTGACAGCCACCTCGGGGTCTTGCCTTCCAGTAAATTATCTGTCTATCCATCAGTTTCTTACTGTTTGAAAGCCGCAAGTATGTCGTTTGCCCAGTTTCTCCCCAGTCAGACTTCCTGGAAAAAAGAAATAACACACTCACATATTTTCTTTAGTGGATTCTGTCTTCATGCCTGGTGATGCTGAAAGAGCAGAGTACGTGCTCAATGACACTGGCTATCTCTACGTTGGATCAACAAAAATGATACGTGGAAGACCTTGGAATTTTGGGCAGGTACAGACTCGCATGTTTCTCTCTCTGTCTGGATGTGAGCAGGTTGCAATTTCTGTGCAAGGTTCCAGCAACCACAAACAGAAGCCTTGGAATCCTGTTTAGGCTTGGGGTGGTTTGTTTTTTTGAGATGGGAGGAAAGGAATTTCAGGAGCGGGGGCATGGGGAGGGGGAAAAGGACATCTTCACTTGTTGCACTAAAACGATCAGTTGCCCAATGATTCCTCACATAAAATATAATATCTAAATTCCAACAGTCGCGAGCAGAGGATCCCGGCGCCAGCGGCAAACCGCTATGTACAGTGCATGTACGGCGTCGCACCCGTGCACTGTAACAACGCTGCACATGCACTGTGCATAGTGGTTTGTTGCTAGCGCTGCTCAAGCGCCGTACGGACAGCGGTGGGATCCCTCCGTCGCCACTACAGCCGCATGTAGAGGAACCTCCGCGGCTGTAGCAGCGACGGAGGGATTCCTGGAGCGGCGGCGCCGGCAAACCGCTATGTGCAGCGCATGTGTGGCGTCGCTATGTACGGTGCATGCGTCATACATAGCGATGTTGCACATGTGCCCTACGTAGCGACGCCCCACCCCGGGTGTCACGACGCCTTCATTTGCCCCTGTTTTTAGGGTAGCCCCAAGTTACTTCCAGGCACTCAAAAACCTATGTCCTCTATTAGAGAAGCCTGCAGCAACAAAACAGCATTTTGGAGTGCTCTTGCTCAGTGTTGCAGACGCTGAGGAGCCATGTCTCTCTTCAGGATATTTCATTCCAACCCCACCAACCCGTTTTCTGTTTTTCCTCCCAACATTTGATCAGCACCCCCTGACCCCTGAACAACTTACAATTTTGTACGCAGCCCAGGAAAATTACGCCTCAGCATTGTTGATAGAACAGCAACTATTATTATTATTATTATTATTACAGTGGTACCCCGCAAGACGAATGCCTCGCAAGATGGAAAACCCACTAGACGAAAGGGTTTTCCGTTTTGGAGGCGCTTCACAAAACGAATTTCCCTATGGGCTTGCTTCGCAAGACGAAAGCCCATAGGGAAATCTCCGGGACAGCGGGGAAGCGCAGCGCGTCTTCCCCACTGTCCTCGGACCTCCTCCCGCCGCCCGGCTTTGGAACGAAGCTCCGAAGCCGGGCGGCGGGGCGGGGACACCTTCTCCCGCCGCCCGGCTTCGGATGGCTGTCCTGAAGACTTGGGGTGGGAGGAGGGTTTTCCTTCCCACCGCCAACATTCAGAATGCTGTTCTGAATGTTGGCGGTGGGGAGGAAAAACCCTCCTCCCACGCAAGCCCCGGGAACAGAGGGAAAGCGCTGCGCGCCTTCCCCTCTGTTCCCGTACCTGTCCTGAAGGCTTGCGGTGGGGAGAAAAGCCCTTCTCCCCACCGCCAGCCTGGCAAGCGGTTTCCATAGGAACGCATTAATTGATTTTCAATGCATTCCTATGGGAAACCGTGCTTCGCAAGACGAAAAACTCGCAAGAAGAAAAAACTTGCGGAACGAATTAATTTCGTCTTGCGAGGCACCACTGTATTATTATTATTATTATTATTATTATTATTATTATTATTATTTATTACAGTGGTACCTCGAGTTAAGAACTTAATTCATTCTGGAGGTCCGTTCTTAACCTGAAACTGTTCTTAACCTGAGGTACCACTTTAGCTAATGGTGCCTCCTGCTGCCGCCGCACGATTTCTGTTCTCATTCTGAGGTAAAGTTCTTAACCCGAGGTACTATTTCTGGGTTAGCGGAGTCTGTAACCTGAAGCGTCTGTAACCAGAAGCATCTGTAACCCGAGGTACCACTGTAGTATTATTAGTATTATTAGTATTATGCCCTGCCAGTGGGGACAACAGAGGATGTGTTGAGGGTAGACAATAGGCTTTGGCCTCTGACACTCACCAGTGTCTGCTTTTTGTACCACATCTACACAATACCATGTCAGTTGGATGGGGGACCGCAAGTTGAGATTCCTGAATTGCAGGGGGTTGGACTAGATGACCCTTAGGGTCCCTTTGCAACTCTGCAACTCTGAAAACTTGCATTTAAACAGATTGTATTCCTACCAGTAGAGGGCAGTAGCATATTGACATACGCCCAACAATTCTCAGCAGGCTTTTCGAAGAGACGGAATTTGTGTGATGCACTGCTGTATTTTGTGCATGGAAAAAAGACCCCTTTATACATTCAGAGATGTTGTGTATCTCAAATGCTTTATGTCGGCATCTGTTGGCATCCGTCTGCCTCAAGAAACAATGGAGTAGTATACCTTTGTGTAGGGCTGCCGTATGTCTTGGTTTTCCCGGGAACCTGGCTGCAAAATGGTGTCCGGGCAGATTTTTGGTGAATATGCAAAATGTCCGGGCAATTATTATTTTTTTAATGCTTAAAAAATCCAAGACGAGCCCTCGGCCCCCAATGGCAATCTACTTTTGGGGAGTGAAGTCAAACCATTGGAGAGTTATAGCACCTGGTGTGGCTATAGAGACCGATATGGGAGAGACATGTTTCGTTGCAGCTGGGGCAGATGAAAGCATCTGATTTAACAGCTACAGATCTCTCTGCACTCCACCCAGCAGTCATTCCTCCTCTGCTCACTGCTGTGGATGCATGACCTGTCTGTCTCCAGACACTGCTGTTCTCTGCCAAGGCCGCAGATTAAATATCATTCACTGCCAAACAACGGCAATGATTTCAGAGACAGTCCCATTTTTCCTTCTGCGTGTCAACACCGCACATTTCGCAAGCATTGAATTCATTTGAAGTTTGCGTATGACGTATTGACATCTCAGCAGCAGTTTTATGCTGTGTTAATTGAAGGAAAGGGTGTTTGTTAGTTTGTTTTTCCTGTGGTGCGCAGCTTAAATGTAAGACTTTGCTTTCTGTCTCAAAACAGTTTGAGGAAGATGTTTTGGACTGTTGCATGTACCTTCTGGACAAAAGCCAGCTCAAACCAAAGGCCAAGAAAGATCCCGTGATCATCTCCAGGGCCATGTCAGCATTGGTAAGTCCTTAAACGTATCTTTTAACTCAAGATTGGATTCTTTGGGGTTAGGACAAGAAATGGGGAAGGACAAATACTGTTATGTACTGAAGTTCTCACCCTGGGCCAGCAGGGGGATACTGTAGATAGTTATGCAAATAAAGGATCGAAAGTGACGTTCAGTGATTGGATAGTTTAAGAAAGTTGTTACAGTAACGTTGTACTATGTACTCTATATAAGCAGGCTGGCTGAACCCTTCAGTTCAGTTCTGTCCTGGTCTGTGAATAAACAAGAGCTGTTTGAAGAATCGCTGTGTCGTCTGATATGTTCACCCACAATTTAACAAATACCTTCAGATCATGCCCTGTATACCTGTCGTGGCCATAGCATAATACAGAGATAGGGAATGTGTGGCCTTCCAGAGCTATAGCTCAGTGGTAGAAATTTGATTAATTAATAATAATAAACTTATATGTCGCCTATCTGACTGGTTTACCCCAGGCACTCTGCACGGCTTGCTTTTTTCCTCTTTTTTTCTTTTTTTGGAAATATTTGTTATTGGTTTTCACAAGAACAAATTTAAAATAATAAAAAGAAAAAACTCTTAACATATCCATGTATGAGATTCTCTGAATCTTGTGACTTCCCCCCATCCCCCTGCATGGGTCCTTAAAATAATTTTTTTAAAAGCTAAATATCATTACGTTCTCCACAGTTTTCATCTCTCTAAATTATCCATGTCTTTTGTTTCTTTACAAGTCATTTTTAAAGTCCAGCTAATGTTTTTATTTGTTTGCAATGGTCTCCTAAGTAAGTTATGAATTTCCCCCGTTCTTTTTAAAAGTCGTTATCTTCTTGATTCCTGAGTCTCCCAGTCAGTTTTCCCATTTCAGCATAGTCCTGTAGTTTGGCTTGCTATTCTTCCCTAGTCAGGACTGTTGGTTCTTTCCATCTTTGGACTAGTAGTATCCTTGCAGCTGTTGTTACATATATAAATAGTCTTTTCCGGTCTTTTCAAATGTCAGAACCTGTAATTCCTAGTAGAAAAGCTTCTGGTTTTTCGACAAATGTTATTTTAAACATTTCCCCCCCAATTCATTGTATATCAATTCCTCTGCGTGGCTTCCAGCAAATTAAAACACAACATCAAACGTTAAAAACTTCAGATGTCTTCTAAAAGCCAGATAGTTTATTTCCTTGACATCTGATGGGAGGGCGTTCCACAAGGTGGGTGCCACCACCGAGAAGGCCCTCTGCTTGGTTCCCTGTAACCTCACTTCTCGCAGGGAAGGAACTGCCAGAAGGCCCTTGGAGCTGGACCTCACTAGATGGACATGCTCCTTCAGGTAAACAAAGCTATTTAGGGGTTTTGCTGTATGGTTCTGCTATCTTCGTTTGTTTTTAGGTTAACTCCGAGGATGATCGTGGAGTGGTGTTTGCAAGCTGGTCAGGGAAATATACTGGTGGTACACCGCCTCTAGCCTGGACAGGAAGTGTCCCCATTTTGCAGCAGTATTACAGAACCAAAAAAAGTGTCTTGTATGGTCAGTGCTGGGTTTTCTCTGGAGTGCTTACCACAGGTGAGGCATTCTTCTTGGAGGGAATTCAACTAACCAAATCCTCCATCTTCACGAGCAGCCTGCTTTTGATGGATAGAATACAATAAGCTGGGAAATAAGAGTGGGGCTGTTTCCCTCAAACCAAGCTTGCAGGCTCCCCACTAATATCTTGGGGTGTTGCACTAGGTCAGGGGTCGCCCACCTTTTGGACCCCAGTGGGCACATTTCAAATTTTGAGGAAGTGCTGTGGGCGCCAGTCACAAAATGGCTGCCAGGTTGTGCCACAAAATGGCTGCTGTGAGGGGAACTGCACATAGTATACCATTACTACTGTTCCATTAACCCAAGGACTATCTCATGCTTTCTGTGACAAGTCAGCTATGTCCACTGGTCCTGATTGTAGAGATCAAAGGGGATCATTCCCTTGTACCAGGAAAAATATACAAGGTAGCCGCATTGCTATCTCTCTTGCACACAGACTCACTTGCTGCACATTTGCAGGTCAGAGACACGCAAACGTCTCTGCTTCTCACTCAAATACACACATCTCTTCCTGTCCTTCCCTTCATGGTGGTGCCTGCTGCCAGCTCCACAGACCTGGTGGGCAACAAACAATGAAATAAGATGGGCCACTAAACAAGTAGGGATCCACTCTTGCCAACTCCCTCCCCAGTGCCCAACAGCAGCAAGGAAGACCTTTGTGGGTCTTCAAACTGTTGTACAACTGCACAATTGAGATCACGGCACCATTTGCCCTCCTATTCCAGCCCAACCTCATATCTCCTTCTGGGAACTGAGCTCATTCTTATCCCTTGGAATATTTCCCCTGATTAAATTCTGAACTCTAATGGGTGTTGAGTGTGGCTGAAAGGAGCCAACTGAATCTAGAGCTGACATCCTTCTCTGTATTTCAGTTATGCGCAGCCTGGGGATTCCAGCCAGGAGCGTGACCAATTTTGCTTCAGCTCACGACACAGAGGAAAATCTTAAAGTTGACATTTACTTGAATGAAAACGGAGGAAAAATGGAGAATCTAACAACAGACTCAATTTGGTAATCATCGCTACAGATTACTAACTTTCTGAAATTCCCACTCGTGGGGGAAAAATGGTTGCAAGGAGCAAGTTGAGAGCCCTAACCCTTATTGCATTTAATATGATCCTCTCCACCCCATCCTTGGTCTAGTTTCATATATTGAGATGCCTAGAAATTCATCAGATTACACTGAATTGTTAAATCGATGGCCAGTTACTATTTATGCCTTCCTATACCGTCCAGTTCTAATATCTGTTTGATCATGAAAGTACAGCTGATGATAATTTTTGATTTTAATTCTAAAACCTGACTGAATACAGGAACTTCCACGTATGGAACGATGTCTGGATGAAAAGGCCGGACTTACCAAAGGGCTTTGATGGCTGGCAGGCGATTGATGCCACCCCTCAGGAAAAGAGCCAAGGTAAGACTTGGCTGAAATTTGCAGGAATGGATGTCTTCTGTGCAGATGAAGCTTGCCAAATTTCAGACAGACAGGTGCTGTGTGTGTGGTGTGCATGCGCAAGCAAGGGAACTCTTTAAAGTTTGGAAGTAAAGAGATTTGTTCAGTGTTTTTATTTGAAAATACCATGTATGAATATTTCCTGGTGGAAAATTAAAGCTGTCAGTCCCAAAACTAAACCCCCCTTCTTTCTCATCTTCTCTTCTGGTGTTTTCATTATATGGAGAGCTTGGGCATACGTAACAATTTTAAAGAAACAGTCTTGAGTTCTCTGGACTGCTGCAGTTTCAAGGCGGCCCTGAAGTTTAGCTAGCAGATTTAGTGAGTTGCAGATGCATTGAAGTGCATTTGATTCATCTTGGAATAAGTCTAAGCCGAAGGCCAGGCAGAACAGCTCCGTCTTGCAGGCCCTGCGGAAAGATGTCAAATCCCACAGGGCCCTGGTCTCTTGTGACAGAGCGTTCCACCAAGTTGGGGCCAGTGCTGAAAAGGCCCTGGCCCTAATTGAAACCAATCTGACCTCCTTGAGGTTCGGAACCTCCAAAGTGTTGTTATTTATGGACTTTAAGGTCCTCCGCGGAGCATACCAGGAGAGGCGGTCCCATAGGTACGAGGGTCCTAGGCCGCATAGGGCTTTAAAGGTCAAAACCAGCACCTTAAACCTGACCCTGTACTCCACCGGGAGCCAGTGCAGTTGGTAAAGCACTGGATGAATATGCTTCCATGGCAGGGACCCCGTGAGGAGCCTCGCTGCAGCATTCTGCACCCGCTGGAGTTTCTGGGTCAGCTTCAAGGGCAGCCCCGCGTAGAGCGAATTACAGTAGTCAAGCCTGGAGGTGACCATTGCATGGATCACTGAACTTCTCCAAAGTCACCCAGTTTGTCTCAGAATTTGGGATTTGTCAGAATTGAATTCACAACCCAATACACCATATGATTCCATGCAAGAAGTTTTGTTTAGTCACGTGAATTATGAAAATGTGGTACGGTGGTGTGTCCCAACAACATATTCTAATATCCACCTTTTGTACCACGCTGAGACCCAGCTCAGTATAATCTTAGAACAGACAACTTCTATGGACTTCCTGACATGATCCAAGTATTTTCATAGACGCAAAACTGCAGGTGACAAAGACCTGCAAATGACAGTGAAGGTTAAGTGAAAACTTAGCACACCAGGAGCTGCAATTTTAGATTAGTTATTGCTATTATTTAGCTGTCATTGAATTCTGGGAATTCTGGGTGGACATACAAATACTAAAACAGCTGGTGTAGGTTCTGTATGTGGTTTTTTTTTTACAGGGATTTACCAGTGTGGCCCTACTCCAGTAAATGCAATCAGAAAGGGAGAAGTCTACCTTCCCTATGACTCCAAGTTTGTGTTTGCTGAAGTGAATGCAGACAGAGTCTTTTGGCTCGTAAAGAATGTGGATGGCAAGGAAACATACACCAAACTGCGTGAAGAAACCAAAGTAATTGGGAAGAGCATCAGCACCAAAGCTGTTGGGAAGGACACTCGTGAAGACATCACAGGCCAATACAAATTTCCTGAAGGTGACCAAAACACGAAGTATTTTCTGTCAGGCGAGGAAATGATTATTTTCCACACAGACTAGTAATTTCAGATGGAGGCTTCTTGGGTAATAATAATAATAATAATAATAATAATAATAATAATAATAAATTATTTATACCCTGCCAATCTGGCTGAGTTTCCCCAGCCACTCTGGGCGGCTCCCAACAGAATATTAAAAACACCATCAAACATCAATAACTTCCCTTACTCTGGTTTCCTCTTCAGATCATATAAATCTTTCACCTTTTACTGAAGATTTCCAAGGAGAAGAACAGTTCTGAGTTTACAACTAATTTTTTGAGGCCCCGCTTCAGTGGGGCTACTCCTTTGCTGTAAAAAATAGATTTTAATACATCTATAACTTCCCAATATAGGGCTGCCTTCAGATGTCTTCTAAAAGTCAGATAGTTGTTTATTTCCTTGACATCTGATGGGAGGGCATTCCACAGGGCGGGTGCCACTACCGAGAAGGCCCTCTGCCTGGTTCCTTGTAACTTGGCTTCTTGCAGTGAGGGAACCGCCAGAAGGCCCTTGAAGCTGGACCGCAATGTCCGGGCTGAATGATGGGGGTGGAGACGCTCCTTCAGGTATACCTGGCTGAGGCTGTTTAGGGCTTGAAAGGTCATCACCAACACTTTGAATTGTGCTCGGAAACATACGGGGAGCCAATACAGATCTCTCAAGACCGGTGTTATGTGGTCCCAGCAGCCACTCCCAGTCACCAGTCTAGCTGCCACATTCTGGATTAGTTGTAGTTTCCGGGTCACCTTCAAAGGTAGCCCCACGTAGAGCGCGTTGCAGTAGTCCAAGTGGGAGATAACCAGAGCATGCACCACTCTGGCGAGGCAGTCCGCAGGCAGATAGGGTCTCAGCCTGCATACCAGATGGAGCTGGTAGACAGCTGACCTGGACACAGAATTAACCTGCGCCTCCATGGACAGCTGTGAGTCCAAAATGACTCCCAGGCTGCGTACCTGGTACTTCAGGGGCACAGTTACTCCATTCAGGACCGGGGAGTCCTCCATACCTGCCAGGTCCCGTCCCCCAAAAACAGTACTTCTGTCTTGTCAGGATTCAACCTCAGTCTCAGAAATGGGTGACATTTATTGCCTTAAACGAGTAAAACAAACAGAACAGAACCTTCAGGTTTGCAAAGTGTACACCTAAAATGTAATAGATTCATAAGGCAAACAGGTTTGGAAACCCATATATCTCATGCTTGTCAGGTAACTATTATGGGTTTGCCATCTTCTAGACTTCACAGAAACCTGGCTAACAGGTAGTGTTTGAAGTGCCCTTAGTCAGAAATTATACACACTCATAAAATATTTTGGCTAGAGATTCAGACGCCATGTCTTCATCCTGGGAGAGTGAACATGGCCTGCCATGCTCTTTATATTTGACCAAAACAAAAACAAAGGGTATTTTTGCTCTGGCCATGCCATGCAGCTGACAACGGAAAATGTTTCCAATGACGCCAGGGTCAATTGTTTCCCCGCTTTCCTGTTTTTGCAGAGAGTCCCGAGGAAAGGAAAGCTGTGGAGACAGCTTGTTCCTATCTGCAGTCTAACAATCTGGGGATCTGTGAAGTGACACCTCCCCCTGAACCCCTCAAGGCGAACTTGAAACTTGGAATGGAAGGAGAGAAAGAATTGTGGCCGGGGCAGCCGATTGAGTTGAATCTTATTATAACGAACGAGTCTGCAGGTGCCTGGACAGTCAATGTTGCAGCATCGTGCCAGTTAGAATCATATACTGGGAAAGTGGAGGCTAGCCTTGCCACCATCAAACAGACTGTCCAAACAAAAGACAAGGCAGGTGTGTATACCTGAAAACAGCTGTTCTAAACCACGTGCTTTTTGATGCCTTGATCGCTGCCCACTTCCCTACAGGAGGAGAGCCTCAAACTTCGTCTCCCTGCTGGAAACACGGCTGTTTTGAGCAATGTACAGAGCTCCTTTTGCAGAGTTAGAACATTGAGAACTGCCTTATGCCAAGTCAGACCATTGGTATATCTATCTCAAAAGGGACGCAGGTGGCGCTGTGGTCTAAACCACTGAGCCTCTTGGGCTTGCCGATCGAAAGGTCGGCGGTTTGAATCCCCGCGACTGAGTGAGCTCCCTTTGCTCTGTCCTAGCTCCTTCCAACCTAGCAGTTCAAAATCACACCAGTGCAAGTAGATAGATAGGTACCGCTGTGGTGGGAAAGTAAACGGCATTTCCGTGTGCTCTGGTTTCCGTCACGGTGTTCCGTTGCGCCAGAAGCCATTTAGTCACGCTGGCCACATGACCCGTAAAGCTGTGGACAAATGCTGGCTCCCTCGGCCTGGAAGTGAGATGAGCTCCACAACCCCAGAGTCACCTTTGGCTAGACTTAACCATCCAGGGGTCCTTTACCTTTTATATTTAGCTCAGTAATACACCCAGGGGTCAGGAAACTTTTTCAGCAGGGGACCAGTCCACTGTTCCTCAGACCTTGTGGGGGGCCAGACTATATTTTTTAGGGGGAAATGAATGAATTCCTATGCCCCACAAATAACCCAGAGATGCATTCTAAATAAAAGGACACATTCTACTCATGTAAAAACATGCTGATTCCCGGACCATCCACGGGCCGGATTTAGGAGGTGATTGGGCCGGATGCGGCCCCTGGGCCTTAGTTTGCCTACCCATGGTCTACACTGACTTGCAGTGGTCCTGCAGGGTTTCTGGCAGGGTTCTGTAGATGCCAGAGAATGAGCCTAGGTTCTTCTGCAGGCACAAGGCTCTACCACTGTAGCTAAATCCCTTCTCTCTCCAGGTCTTTCACTCTCTCATTGGTTTATTTGTATTGTTTTCCAGTTGGAAGTGGGAGGCACTGAGGAATAGGGTTGCCACCTTTGGGCAAAATAAGGGACAGGTTGGGGTGTGTGCGGGATTGGGAAGCTAAAGATTACTGTATTTTTTTGCTCTATAGGACGCACTTTTTCCCCTCCAAAAATTAAGGAGGCTTCGTGTTGCTTTCGCTGAAGCCTGGAGAGCGAGAGGGGTTGGTGCGCACTGACCCTCTCGCTCTCCAGGCATAGCCGCCTGAAGCCTTCGGAGCGCAGCGGGAACTCGCGCTGCGCTCCGAAGGCTTCGGGTTCCTTTTGCTGAAGCCGGGAGAGCAAGACTCTCCTGGCTTCAGCAGAGAGGGAGAGCTGCGCAGCGTCCCTTCAGCGAAGTGGGAGGAGAAATGGCTCGGTAACACCATCCCATATGCAAGGCCCGCGGGCTTCCTTCTTCTGCATTGTTCCTCTTCCTAGCTGTCTCTTCTTTCTGTTGGTGCAGTTAATTCCATCCCTCTGAAAATAGCAGCTGATGCTTACCTGAAAGCAATGATGTCAGTAGAAGATGAACTTCTGGTCAAAGTCAACATTATTGCCGAGGTTCAAGAAACGAACGAGAAGCTCACGGAAGAGCTGTCTTTAACCTTCAAGTACCCACCTCTGAAAGTGGAGGTAAGAAGTTAAATAATATTAGCTCGGTGCAGGGTGGTCAGTTTATGTAAAACCCAAGAGCAGATGAGCTGGAAGGAGAAAAATGAATGACTTCCGGGTTGGCGCGACTGGTTAATGGCGGATTCCCTCCGAGCTCCGGAGGGAATCGGCTTAGCAGGGGACTGGGTCTTACCGTGCCGGCGACACGGGGACCCTCAAAAACCACGGACACGGAGGCCGTGGACATGGTGACTCGGCGGGCACCGTAAGCGCCCTCCCGACTCGTGAAGGAGCCTTTTTAAAGGCTACGGATTGGGTGCCAGGGAGCGGCGTGGTGCTGTGAGTCTTCCGCTCCCCCTGCCGAGCGAAGCCGCATGCCATTCTTCGGTCAGCGCTGACTTCTTCCTGCTAAATTTGGACTTAAAAGCAAGAACAACAACCCGTGAGTAATTTGAAAATTGGATTATAATTTTTCGGTTTGGATTTGGTACGAGCGGGGGAGCCGAAAAAAAAGGAAGTCCGTCTCCTCCATATTGTTAACAGCGCAAAGCAAGGACCTGTCAACTAAAGTTGCGGGAAGAACTGGCGTGATTTGGATAAAAGATACAAACCTCACGGATTTAAAGAACTAAGCTAAGGTGCTGGAGGACAAGAGATTACTTTGTTTGAATAAAGTACCACCTTACTCAAGCCCGGGAGCAACCCGAGTTAAGAGCCTGCTGAGATATAGGTACCTTTGACAGCTGTCAAACTAGCTGTCAAAGCTGGAAGAACTGAAAATTGAAACTTTAACCGACTAAATCGTTACAAAATATTGCAAACAAAGAAAGATTGTTACAAACAAATTTGACTTTTGGATCGGAAAGGGAAAGAACACTAAGTAACCAGAATCCCTCTAGAGGGGATTCTTGGACATTGCAAGAATGGAACTAAAACAGGGAATACAGGAAATACGTGCTGGCTTGGAGAAGCTGACCTCTCTCGTGGGAAAGTTGTTACAGATGAATGAGAAAGGCCTTGTTTTGTCTACGAGCCCGCCAAACCCGAAGTTATTTGAAAATACACTAACTGAATTGGAAAGGGACTCGTTGTTCAAAACACAGGCAGCTGGACAAGAAAAAGAACCTAAGATTGAGGAGGAAAAGACATCTGCCAAGCAAGAGGAGCTGAAGGAAGCGATGGCCGAGACATTACAGAAGAGAGAAGAGAGACCGAGATCTGCTAAGAAGAAACCTAAATTGACCAAGGTGAAAGCAGGACTATTTGGGACATATAGATTCATCAAACAACGTAGGAGTACTGGCTTTAAACAAGCAGGCCCTGTTGGAAGAACCATGGCCAGCATTGAGAAAATACTTCTTCGATCCTGGGAGTTAAGTATGAGAGATTTTCAAAGAAATCGGCTGAAAGGAACTGTGAGAGATTTGCGTGCCTCGGACGTGAGATCACCAGGCTAAAAAGAGGGACTAAATGTATTTTGATTAAGGATTGAAACCGGGGGGAGAAGGGTGGGATTTAATAGTCCAAAGGGGGCTTGGAATTTGCCTTTTTTTACTTTTATAGAATAAAGATTATCATTACAAGAATGGGGAATCCGTGGGAGGGAAATAGTGGCAATTTTAGGAAAGGTATTTTTTTTAGATTTAGGCTTATATCTTTGTTTTTTCTTTCATTTCTATATAGAGGGTTAAGGTATATATGTTAATAAAATGTTAAGGTACAGCAATGAATCAAAGTATAATTTTACAACTAAAATGAATTTAATTAAATTAGGGTTAAGTGATTTTAACAAACTAAGTTTCAGGACTTTTAGGGGAAAGCTTGCTTGAATAAATAAATTGGAGTTGGAAAACAATAGGAGGAGACGTGGGGAAGTTGTGAAAAGAAGTTACTGAAAATAAGTGTGAAAAGGTGAATCTTTTTTTTCTTTTTCTTTGTGTGTTGCGTGTTTTTTCTGTTTTTGGGTTTTGTTTTGGTTTTTTTGTTTTATGTAACCTTTTGGAAAATTAATAAAGATTATTAAAAAAAAAAAAAAAGGAAGGAGAAAATGAATGAATGAATGAATGAATGGAGAATGGCTCACTGAATTATATACCGTATTTTCGCTCTATAAGATGCACCAGACCATAAGATGCACCTAGTTTTTGGAGGAGGAAAAGAAGAAAATTCTGAATCCCAGAAGCCCAAGAACAGCGGAGAGGGATTGCTGTGCAGGCTTCTGGTATAACCGGTGCGAAGCCTCTTCAGGGGGGGGAGCCTTCATCCGCTGCCCTGATGAGGACGGCTTCATGCAGCTATCAGAAGCTAGAACACAGCGAGAACGGGAGCACTGTGCAGCGCTCCCTCCCGCGTGTCTGCTTCTGGGATAGCTGCGCAGCCTGCATTCGCTCCGTAGAACGTACACACATTTCCCACTTACTTTAGAAGGGGAAAAGTGGCATCTTATAGGAGGCGAAAAAATGTGGTATAGTTAGTCTAGGGCAACACCTGCTGCCTTAGGGCTCCACTTACCCTCATCTGTTCACGATGGGGCAGGAATTGGGGAGGCCTCAGAGGGGAAGTGTGTTGTGGCCCGCAAGACCGCATAGATAAAATTCCAAGTGTTTAGAGAGGCTTTCTGGAGTGGACGGTGGCTCAGTGCACGCTGGTCAGTCTAGGTCCCAGAAATGGCCACTAGGACGTGACTTCTGCTAGTTAATAGTTCTACTTCTTCGTTTTTCGCCCAACGCCCTTCCGTCTCTCTGTTCCCAAAACAGTGGAACTCCCTTTCATAGCAGACCTTGCATCTACACATTGTCAGAACAAGGAATACACACACTTGACGTTACATACTTACCTGGCCATCCAGGAGGTGACTGGAGGGGAAAAAAGAAAGGCAAAGTGTTATAAGAAAAAAACTGCCCCCTTTCCCGCCTTATGGGGTATTCCAGAGCCCCGTATAAGAGTCCTTAAGTGGCTTTCCTATTGTAGGAAGAAAAACAGAAAGGCCAACCAAGATATATTGAGAAGCAAGCGGATAGTAAGCCTCTCTTTTTAAAGGAACTGTTGCAAACAGGGTCCACTCAAACCACACGCAAGGAGGGGAGAAAACCCCAAACAAATGGTGGCGCAAGGCCCTTATATAGATTTGAAATTT